GAATGACTTTCATGCTCAGCTGCTGTCCAATTCCATCTCCAAGAGTTGCTAGGCGACAGGATATCCTTATTACAAGTGTATTCTGGGAAATGATAGGGCCCATAAATGAATTCTGCAGATCTGTAACTTATCAGCCTTCCTTACTGATGTCATGTAGGTCAATGAAAGAGAAGGATCTATGCAAATGGACCATTGGATCATTTAGCAATGTCATTTCAGATTTTACTTTGTTGTGCCAGGGGAGCCAGGCTGACTGGGTTTTAATACTTCAGCTCTATTGTTTTGTATTTTAATCCACAGTTAGAGTTGATTTAAGAAATCAACTGCTATTGTGATGTATTAAGCATATTTATCTTAAATAGCTACACATAAAGTGTATGTTTTTTTTTTCATCCTGGTGGCACACAGCCAACAGAAGCTATGATTACTGCAGCAGTGAAGAGAGCTGTACACCATTATGTCAGTACATTGTGGTAAGGAATGGGCCCAATAAATGAGTTCCCCAGATTTCTAACTTAGTATTTGCCTTCAACATTATCATATGGATCAATGAAGAAGAGGAATGCTGTTCATTTAGACATATGATTGCAATATAGTGTCCTCACAGAAACCATATAGCAAGCACATTGATTACCACAAGCTTTCACCCTGAAATATTTTACCTTTAAAACTAAAAGTGGACACCAGAGGTCTAGAAAGGGCCAAGTAATAAAACCACAAACTAAAAAGTCATGTAATCCTCAACCAGAGGCACTTGTACCCAATGGCAGGACTTAGATAAAATGAATAATTTGAACATTTAATTTCAGATTTATATCTGAATATTTGAGAAAAATAATGATTTATATGAAATTCAAAATTGGCATGATACCATATTTATCAGCTGTTGTAATGAAACTGCACTGGACAGGCTAGAGATGTGTCCTTCACATATGAGTTGGCTCTATGAGCAAACTATCAAGATCAAAGATTTTTATTGTCAATTTACTGTATGCGCAGGACATACATAAAATCTCTCTCACCTAGTATTGAATGCCATGCCATTTAGGAAACTAAAATAGAATAAAAGTAGAGTAAAAACAGACTAAAAAGAATAAGAAAACTGAGTCAAAGTGATTAGGATAAAGTTAAATGGTACAACCTCGTAGGCTATAACTCTAACCCTGTACAACCAGTGACAGTAGTGCAAATAATAGCAAGAAGATTGTCAGATGGTTGTGAGATTGAGATGCACAATGGCCAACAGCAGCAGACACCACTGATTTATTATTTAGCAGAGGATATAAATTATTTTTTCATTTATAAATTATGATATTGAGGGTTGTTTTTTTTTTTGGTATCCCATAGCCATGAGTGGTGCAGCCAGTCTCGTATAATCATAAATACTTGTATAGGACTTTTCTGTGCATTGCAACACACTCACAGCACTTTCACATTATTTGCACATTCACACACCAGTGATATCATCAGGAGCAATTTGGGGTTCAGTGTCTTGGGCAAGGGCACTTTTTTTTACAGGAATCAAAACACTAACCTTCCAGTTATGGGACCAACTGCTCTACTTGCTGAAGCACAACCATCCAAAGACCATACAGTGAGGTTAGAGAGGGGAGGGACTGGCATTCTAGAGCAGAGACTGGTATGTTTTTTTTGGATAGTTAGTTTTATTTTAGTTGAAATGGACTTATCAACAATTGCATTAGAATTGTAACATATATTTATACACAGGGACCATATGCACTATAATATTTGTAGTGAAACACCAATTTACAACATTTAATATAAAATTAGCATTCAGTTACCCCTACAGTAGTGTTTTATACAAACCAATGTAAAATTATGGTTTTCTGGAAATGATTTAAGTGAAATATATGCACACATACCAATCCTAAGTCAAAACATTGTTAAATTCTAAAAGCCACAAATGGTATGAAAATAGTCACTTCAGAGCTGATTCTTATTGCTGAGCTGAGCCCAGTGCTCCAGCTCACTAAGAAGAGCCAGAGCGCCAGAATTCCCATCAGTGGGACAGACGGACTGAACACCAAGTGTTGTAGCGGAGAATGCACCGAAACAATTTATCAAATAGTTCTGTCACTTTAAATGATGGTACAATTGTAAGCTTGATTAAAGGTGATAAAAAAAAGACAGATCCAGAGCATCCATAATTTCAGGATAGATTTATCATGAAGTGATTCACAGGGGCAGCCACAAATCAGCCAGAGCCAGTGTTTTTCTCTGAGGTGGAATGCTATAGAGCGAAGGCACTCCATTTATCAAAAGAATATGTTGCAGGAGTAATTGAGCCAATCTGATGTTTGCTTTAGGACAAAAAGCTTAGAAACCATGGATCCCACTGTGCAATAACTTAGCAATTTACCCAGGAAACTATTCATGTAGCCATCATGATGAGGAGCAGTGTGAAATGATGAATCTTCTAAATCATATTAACAGCAAAGACGACTACTGCTGCAGAGCGTTGGCTAACTTTAATCACCTGCCAGAGGAGATCCAGCTCCCTCTTGGTGAGAATTACTCCCAGTCAACAACTGACCGACAGCACTGCCCCTTAATTAAAACACTTCCTCTATTGACCACAGTTTTACATCTCGCCTTAAAACAAAGCTACTCTGCATTTCTCTGCCCAGTTAGATCTGTAGAGAGATAGTGAAAACCAGCCAGCTAAGATATATTATATGATCATGAAAGATACATATCTCATAAACGGTGCAACTAACTAGATTATATGGGCCCTGTCTGCAGAGCGACTAATGGAAGCTGTGGTGTAGAGGGAATAAAACCTGTTAGCTGACTGTGTTTGGCTGAAATGCTAGCCCGCCAGGCTTTTTCACCACCATCCTCACAGAGCAAAATCCCTGTTGCACTTAGTAGTCATCCATTTTTAATGCCACAGCCTCAGCTAGAGAGAAGCATGAACAGAGAGGGAGGGAGGAATAGACACGGTGTGGATGACACCACCCAGATGCTTCAGGCTAATGTATGTACACTCCTCTTGATGTGTTTTTGTGCTGTATGTTCAGCAGCAATTATGCATGCCTGAGGTCGTTTTGCTGCTGAGATAGACCCGCAGACAGTAAAGCCATTCATAAACTCATCATGGTTTTACTATTTATTGTTCCCGTCATTTACTGTATGAGACATTTGTAACAAACTGAGCTGTTGCAATAATGCACAAGCACTCAAAGCTGCACAGCTGTGCACAGCTCTGACTTTTTCCAAAAGGAAGGCTCCCTGCCTGTGTTTGAGCCTCTTAATATGCCTGCAGCAGCCATTCCGCAGGCTAGAGAAGGCCAGGAGGGCCAGCTATTCAATCCGCCTCAGTGCAAACATGATCTGTTTGAATGGTGAGGCATAAGCCAAGACATTCTTGTGTGGGCAGACCTTCCTAAACAACCTCAAACAACTGTGGCACTGTTTGTCCTTCAGAGAGTCAAATCTTTAAGGTTCAAGAGCAGCAGATCAGTTTGTTTGTCCAAAAGCAAAGGTTAACAGGAAAATCTTTATAAAATTACAACATGAGGGCTTAATACTTCATCTGCATGAACTCTGTGTTGGTCAGTGAGGCAGGCCAATTAGAGCAAGCAGTCATTCCTGTAAATGTTTTACTTGCTTTTCCAGCTTGATTTAATCGGTCCATCTGCAAATCACTACATCAGTCAGTAAAACTGTAATTTGAGACTTAAACAACTTTTGTGTTTGAAAAAGAAAAGGTTTGTACTGTAAATCTGCTCGGTCAAACCAAATAAAGAACAACATGGCTCCAAATATTTGACAGGTTTTTATTTCTCTAGTGAATTCATGTTATTCTGCACAGCAGCATACAGGAAATTGTGGTAAAATATAAATAAAGTTCGACAGTTTTCTTTTTCTCTTATACATTTAATCCAAAAAAAAAATCTGTTAAGTGGCAAATCTTTTCAATATCCACTCTCTTGCACACTCAAGAATGCAACACTGAACAACTAAACTTTAAAAATTATGGGTATAATCATTATTTACAGAAAATCACCTTTTTGGTGAGCAATGCTGATAGCTTCTTGGAAATTCACTTCCATAATGTTAAATGCAACAAAATGAAAATACAATTGTTATACAAAGATCAAAAATACTATCAAAACCCTTATTATAAATGACAGCACTATATCAATAAACTGCTGTTGACATTTATCATGTAAGTACAAAATCCTGTTGAGGTAGTACCCTCTGAAGTCACTTGTAATGTTAAAATACTGAATAAACATCACTTTATATACAATACAGCAACTCTCTCTGTCTTCAATGCAATTGTATTCCTTTGGTAAACAAAACTGTCAGACATGTGCAGTCCTGCAACTGACACATTCAATCATACATTCTCAACATTTTTGCATCTTTTTTTTTTGGATTCTTCAGAAAAAGAATAGGGATAATGTACTGCTGTTAACGAACATTCATTTGCTGTTTTCCACCCCCACCCAGAGTGAAGGGTACATGGGACTTGCTCCACTTTATACTGCAGAGCAGACCTGTCCATGGGAGACTGGTGAATACACTGTCAGGGCAAACAAACAAACAAAAAGACTTGACAGAGGAAATAAATCCAGTGTGTTGCCCTTATTTGGGAATGTAAATATAAAATATGTAGGGTAGTATCTCTTATTTTTGACTGCTCATCTCATAAGACTGGAAAAGAGGTTTGGCTTGGCAACAACTGATTATAATGTGAGCCCTAAACAGAAGTCACATTATTCTTTTTCCTGCTTGGCAGATTGAATGTCAACTTTGGAGCAAGTTGGAAAATTTATGGAGTTTTTAGGCAGTTCCTCCTCCAGTCAGATAGGATTCATTAATGACACATTCGTGAGCTTCTTTAATGGCAAACATAACTTTGGTTTTCTAAGACAAAAAAGAAAAATTATAGCGAGCTTTGCTCAGTGTACAAA